ACAACCAACAACAATTTCGTTATTTTGAAACCCAAGATACACATTTTAGAATCAAAATAGCAAAACCCCTTTTCAACATTTTCAAACCCTAACTTTCCAAAATTAACCATTTAACAAAATGCCCAAAAATCTAGGTTAAAACCCATAGTAGTGAGTAGGAATCCCTACCTCAAAAGATGACACCCAAAGAAGAAGATGACGAAAACGAAGTTGTTCCAAATCTAAAGTTTCTCAGATCAAAATGTAGCCCTCAACGATCAACCCAACTTTTACAAAGGCCAAAGGGGAGGAAAGCACTCTAATTAGATCAAACCCTAGAGAGAAGGGAGTTTCTAGAGAGAAGCTCTCAAATGGCGGTTTGGAAAAGTAAGAGAGAGAGAGGAAGTGTAGAAAATGATTCAAAAATGCCTAACTGCCCTCTGTTATACGACATTCCCGCTCGAGCGGAAAACACAACGCTCGAGCGTCAAGAACACAAAAAACTAGGTCCGCTCGAGCGCAAGAAGGCTCGCTCGAGCACCAAGACACAAGAATAAAGTACATCCGCTCGAGCGCGAGCGCGAAAACCAGTCTGCTCGAGCGTAGATTTTCATCTCCCAGAACTTTCACCACCGAGGTACTACCCGCTCGAGCGCCAACAAGCCCGCTCGAGCTCAACCTGCTCAAGCGTAAGAAACCCGCTCGAGCATAGAAAACACACCTGCAGAAGTTTTGCAGGGACTCGAAATGCTGGAAGGGTGTAAACCCCGCTCGAGCGCAAAATGACCCACTCGAGCGGACCACTCAAAAACTGGGCAACAGCAATGGGAGCCAAGGTTCTACCAACCTGTAACAACCAAGCCCAACACATCCTAAAACTCAAACAAATGGAATTAAAGGACGACAACAAGATAGACACAACTACTAACTCCACGGAACCGAGTTCGGAATGCAACAGAACAGTAAAGGGAATACCGGAATCGCTATATGAATCTTCAACTCACTCAACTCAGTAGGTGCAAACTGGTATAGTGCCATAGAAATCGGTGCCGTGCTAGGCACTAAATCAATAGAGAACTCAATTTCTCGGTGAAGTGGTAAACTAATAAGATCCTCGGGAAAGACATCAGAGTATCCACAAACTACTCTTGGCAACTAAACTCAGACTTCATCACACTCACAATTCAAGAAGTTAGCAAGAAGGCAACTAAGTTCACTCCGCCTACGCGGATCATACACCGATGATAAGACTCAACCAACCCGATCTCCCAAGAAATAAAAACAATCCTCGCTCAGGGTACATACAGTAACCCTCTGACGCTAGCAATCTATAACAAGCCAGTATGAAGACAACCAGTCCATAGCCAATATAACATGAAAACAAGACATATCCATCAATACAAATGAAAAGGGAAGTCAGCGATCGGCAACCTCTATATCACAGCCCCGACACCCCTACTTCAGAACCATCTCACCCCCAATAGGTGACACCACACAAATGGGAGATGCTAATTGAGCCAACTCTAACCCCAAAACCGATGCAAATGCAGACGAGATAAATGAATAGGATGCACCCGTATCAATCAACACATTAGCAATAGAGTTGTAAAACAAGAAAGTACCTCTCACAACAGAAGGCGCTGGTACTAAATCTGGCGTGGTGACAGCATGTACAGCATATACACGCCATGTAGGTCTCTGATCTACCTGTTCACCTCTTAGAGCATAGGACTGATGCACTGACTGATCCGAAGAGGCTTCCTGATTGGCCTTCGAGGCCTGTGCTGACTGCGTTGGCTGGTGGCTTTGTGTCTGCCTCGAACTAGATGTACTAGGTGTGCCACCAAACTGTAGACAAAACCTCTTCATGTGCCCCACCTGCCCACACTGATAACAAGTGAGCGGCTAGCCTCTCCCTTGACTCTGGTTCTGAGAACGAGCCGAAGACTGTGCAGATCGCTGCCCGACCCCTCTCTGCGGGCAAGCTGCAAACTTGTGACCCAGCTGGTCACACTTGAACCAATTCACATCCCTCTGACCACCTCTCCCAGAACCCAAACTCGATACTGGAAAGGTAGACCTCAATTGTGCTCCCTAGGACTGTTGGGGGTTAGAACCTCTCTGCCTCTTACTGTCCCCCTGCACATCCTGGCTTCTCCGGGAGCCCCTCATCCTCTCCTCTTCCATTTGTGTTACAGTCTCCGGATGAGCTGCCGCCTCCACAAGGCGTCTATACTCCCTAATCATCAAACTGGCCACTTTAAACATGAGCCTAGTCCTCAATCTCTTCTCAAACTCGAGGCAACGTCGCTCCTCAGTCGCCACTAACTCTGGTGCAAACCTCGACAAACAAGCAAAGGTGGCTTCAAACTCTGCCACAGGTGTATTCAGCTGCACCAACTTGGTGAACTAGTCTCTCAAATTCTCCCTAACCGTGGGAGGCAGAAACTTTTCCTAGAAGGCATCGACGAATGCCTCCCAAGTGCCTCCAATACGCCCACGCACATACTTCCACCGCTGACTCTCGTCTCCCTTTAACAGGAAGGATGCCAAGGTCACTTTCAAACCTCAATCATCGATGCCAAGCATTTCAAACGTCTTCATTATCTACTCTAGCCACTCATCCGCTTTTAGTGGCTCATTGGGATCATGCAAAAACTCGTCCGGGTTGACTAAAAAAACTTCCTCTTTAGAAAAGATGGCCCTACTTCAGCTACTTGGGCCTGGACTTGATTTTCAGTTCTGAGAATGTCTATGGATTCTCTTAATACTCCGACCACTTTGCGGGCTAAGGCGCCCATGGTCAGTTGACCAACTGGTTTGGCCACGTTGGCCTGACCAACACCCTCCTCCTGTGCCAGAATATCATCCGGTACAGGCACTTCGTGCCTTCTAGGCCTACCACGCCTACCACCACCTCATCCACTTCCTGACATCCTAATAAAGGTTATAAAAGATATTAGCACATTTACAATTATGCCGAAGCTAACTCATTCCGGTCCTAATGCGATGGACAATATTCCATGCAAGCACGTATTCACACAAACACATATGAATTTCCTTTCCAGGTAATGATCGTCTCGTGGTGTTACCAGAGTTCCAATTAGAAACAACAACGATCAAGTGCTCTTCTAACAGGACTTCTAGGAACCCGTGGACTCAATCAACATCCTAGAAATTTATTTCCATACCCACATAATCACATAAGCATGTTATCATATAAGCACATATCATACACACTTAAGTCTCTAGCAAGCGAGACAAACTCATTGTGATACTAACCGCTTCCTACGTACCCAAAGTATTCAAACCTGGTACGCTCTAATACCAAGTTGTTGCGCCTCCAAAATGTTACAAATACGCCAACTCATAAGGGGAATGAACATAATAGAATCAATGTGCTTCCATTCATCCGAGTTCGTATTACAAGAGATAATACATGTAATATACATTCATAAATGTCTATCCTGAATCTATAGCATGTAACATTAATTAATGACAACAAAATAAATGCCCTATGGGCTTCCTTCTTTCCAAGATATAACTTGGTTACAAGAAAAGAGAGCCATATGCTCTGTACATATAAAGCCCGTTGCTTGAATAAACATCTAAACATTTAAATAACAAAATGGAGCCTTCAGCTACTAAGTCCTCCCAAACTATGTTCTTGGAGGAAGCATGTCACTGGTACCTGAAAGTGATTTCCCAAGTAGGGTGAGCCAAAGCCTAGTAGAGATAATCTAACACAATATATGAAATTTAACAAAGATATAAGTGTCAGATAAACATTCAACATTTATAACCAAATTACATTCTTCCCATGACCGTATAATACTAATACTCACATCTCAATTTATTTCATTTTATTCATTTCAAGTTAATTCATTTCATTCAAGTCATATACCAAGTGTATAATTTTCCAAATAACCCCACTGAGACTACAACTCAGTGGTTCTCAATCAACATAACTTTCATACAAGCATTTCAACCTTGCCATTTTATGAAAATTTTGTCCGCGGGATCGGCACCCATTTATACATAAGGTTTCGAGACTTTCACCCTGGACACTCTGGCCAACTTAATTTTCAATGGAGTCCATCCCCTATCTCCTCCCAAACAATGGAGTACATCCTATTTCTCCTCCCATAATGTTATACATATACAATATATTTAAAAGCATCGTCATATTCAATGACTATCAATTATGCACATTCAATGCCTTATCATACTGTCATATTCAAAGACACAATTTAAGTGATTAATTTCAATTCACCTAATCCACATGTAATTTCTACAACATTCATAACTATCCTCCACCAATAGCCCAACATAAATATTTCTAAACAGATATATAATCTTTATAACAGATAATTCATCAAATTTCCGTAGGTGAGTGATTAAACAAATCCAATTACACCATTCATAAATATATCTTCCCAATTTCACATTTTCATACCAATTCTGTTATTTATACAAAATAATTATTCCAAACATTTTAGGGTAAAACTCCCTACCTTATAAATATTGACCCAAAGGTTAAAATCAATTATGTACAATCAATTGCCTATATATATACAAAGCCCCATATTGGTTATCTGCTTTGGGTCCTTAAAAAAAAAAAAATCAAAGTCGACTTTGTCACCTTTAGTTAATTTCTCACCATATCTCTTTTCCTTTTTTTTTTTTTTTTTAAATTTTTCTCTCTATTTGGTTTTTTTTTTCTTTCTTTTTTGTTGCGTTGGTGGTGATTTTTTGTGGTTAAGGTGGGGGTTTTTTTGTGGTTTTAATCAAAAAGGTGATTTTTTTGATTAATTATGTAATTAATAGAATGAACATTGAAAAATTTATTCTCTGTTCACCTTTTTTATTTTATAGTGTCATTTTACAGTGTCAAGCAAACAATGCAACTTTTTTGCTCATTTTATAAGTCAACGAACCACTTTGCATGATTAAATTTCAAGCGTTGTTGACAAAAATAAACCAACACCATCCAAAACCAGTCAAGTAGTAAAGAAAATCAATCACTTGACCATAGAACTGGACAATATAGAAGTTACACCTGCAATCAAAATAAAACATAAACAGAGAATAAATTTTTAGTGTTCATTCTATTAATTACATAATTAATCAAAAAAATCACCTTTTTGATTAAAACCACAAAAAAACCCCCACCTTAACCACAAAAAATCACCACCAACGCAGCACCATCATGACCACTCCCACCATTGGCCTCTAGCTCTCAACTGCAAACCCTCCAGTCTCGGAACGAACCACTCCAGGCTAGCAGGTGCAAGGGGGTTTAGACAAATCACCTCCACCACTACCACCACCATGAGGAGCGCCAACACCACCACCACCCGATGTAAAACTTGGGTAAAATTGGAAATCTGTAGAGAAATGACCACCACCACCACCAGGAGCGCCAACACCACCACCACCCGAAGTAAAACTTGGGTAAAATTGGAAATCTGTAGAGAAATGACCACCACCACCACCAGGACCGCCAACACCACCACCACCCACTACCCGCCACTGTCACCCACCCATCCACCACCACCCACTACCCACCCGCCACCACCCACTACCCACCACCGTCTTCCGCTGCCACTTGCCACTACTTGCCATTTCTCACTCTTTTTTATATTTTTAAATTTTTTAAAATATTTTGTTAATTACCAAACGCGTTTGTAGTTTATGTTTTTCTAAAAATAAACAAAAAATAAACAAAAATCAATTTATAAAATTTTTGTAAATATAAACTGAAAATGTAAACGTTACAAAACAGACCCAAAATCCTTGCTTCCTCATTCTTAAACTTGGTTGTCGTTGACTATTGGTAAATGTGATCTTTCCGTACATAAGGTCAAGAGGATTTGACTCATGGTAAGGTGTACACATGCCAAACCTCTTGAGTCTACGGAAGCCAACTCAACCACTAATATGCATTACGTGACCAAATATCCAAAGCCACATGCCAACGAACTTCCTTTTATTCCGAAACCCATTGGGAATCCAAATGCCTAAACTAATATCCCACAAGGGATATACTAGGATTGTTTGAAATAAAGAGTCGACACTTGATTTGAAGAACTAAGAAATCATATCCACAAAATCACTCCATGCAATACCTAGTCCCGTCATCACTAGAGATAGGGCTAACCAGCCATATTGCCCAACCAAGTGGTTGTGAATTGTACCATACGTTCTCACAATATATCTCTCTCGAATTGCACTACATGTTCTAGTTACAATATTTATAATATTTAGTTATGATATATTGTGATATTAGTTATAATTTAATTCTAAGTTGATTTTACATGTTATGATATTAATTATGACTTATTATAATATTGATTATAACATTATTTTGATTATAATTCAAAAGGTATTTGATTATACTTATGTGGTGTTTGGTTATGATTAATTTTTTTAATTAAAACTTTAATATTGTATTTGATTCATGGATTTAGATAGAAATTAAAAAGGAAAAATGTGTATGAAATATGTGTAAAATATAAGTATATTTTATTCACATTTTATTTTATTTTTTTTCAAATTCATAAACCAAACACAACCTAAAAAATAGAATTATAATTATTAACCCATAAATATCATAATTTACATATAATACATACTCTTTAAGGGTTAAGTGTATGCACCATAACATAATCCTTTATTGTATTATGGTAAACTATACTATCATTTTAATTTTAGTGAAACTTCACTTTGGTTCTTATAGATTTAATTTGTTTTTCAATTTTGTTACAATTTGCTCCCTCTATTATGCTGCATTGTTAACATTTTGAACGGAAAAAAATCACATGCAAAGTTAGAGAAACTAAAGTAAAATTAAAAACAAACTATATTAAATTCCACTTTGGTCTCTCTAATTTTACACATGTTCTTTTTCCGTACCAAATTGTAACGATGAGTGACAGAAGGATCACATTGTAATAAAATTAAAAATATAAAAATCAAATTATTCAAATTAAAATTACGAAAATTAAATTAACACTATAGAAATTAATAGTGTAATTTACCCTATTCTATATTGCATTGTGCAAAACCAATAATAGAACTACATTTCTCTAAAATGAAGAAATGAATATTCACAACTTTTTCACTTGTCGTGATTTCCTGCTAAAATGTAAAGGGCTCATTTGGCAACCCGGCTTTTAAGCTGTTTATTGTTTTATTAGTTTATTTGGGTCACAATATCTTTCTATTTCTTTACATATCTTTTCATAATAAACAAAAAAATCAGCCTATCAAGCATACTCAAAACAATCCAAATTTTGATCCAAATGGATTAGGTACTCTAATTATCTAGATTTTCTCATTAAATATAATTTTCATTGGCTTTATTAGTGTTACATTAAAAATTGTTTTTTAACGTAAGTTTTTTTTATCTATAGCATAATTACATGATCTTTTTAGATTTGTAGAATATCTTTAAGACTTAAATATAGTACAAGTTCGATTTTATATAGAAAACCTTTAATTTCAATTCTCAAATAAAAAAAATGAAAACTTTAATACATTACATTAAAAATTGTTTTTTTTTTAATAATTTTTTATGTTTTGCATAATTACACGATCTTTTTAGATTTGTAGAATATCTTTAAGACTTAAATATAGTACAAGTTGGATTTTATATAGAAAAACTTTTAATTTCAATTCTCAAATAATAAAAATGAAAACTTTAATACATTCGTACTAATATTTTTTACCCCCAAAAAATGTAAGTACATAAAATTCTACATAATCGTCTCACTATTATTACTATCAAATAATACATTAATTATTTTCAAAATATGTAACCAAACAATTAGTAATCAATTGATCTCCAATTTGGTTGTGCAATTAATTTCTTTTTATTATTTGTAAGTTGTTCTTGAATACTATTGGTAAAAACAAATATAATTTCACAAGTAAATAGCCTTATGAATCTATGATATTTCTATTTGTCTCTACCAATTGTTTTAGTAAAATCACAAATTCTTTGAAATGCTAAAACTGATTGCACGCATATGAACAATGTAGTTATGAAATTGATTCAAGGAAAGTAATGCAATTTTGTATTGAAATCTCCAATAAAACAACCACAATTATAATACCAAATTATTATACTAAAACTAGCATCCAAATATATACAGATATATATATATATATATATCCTAAAAGAGAATTAGAGAAGAGACAGATCAAAAAAAAAATTAAAATAATTAATTCTAGATGTATACATATATATTCATACAAGTAGTGGGTGTAGACGTAATACGTTTGCAATTTTACATATAAATTTGTTGGTAAATTTGATGAATGAGAAAGATGGGTTGAATTTAAAATTTGATAATAGTTATATACTGAACAATTAACAACTTGGACATTCTTAGAAAGAATAAAAATAGTGGCAAAATTTTAAAATTATTACGAGTTCCGTATTTAAAATAATAGAATAGATTGATTCAACTATAAAAATTGAATGGAAAATTCTACCATGGGATTCGTTTGAGATGTGGGTTGGTTTTTTGACTTTTTAGTTTTTTGGCTATTTTAGTATGGGGCTTAAAAATCTCGTTTGGGATAGATTTTTTGACTTTTGTGAGAGAAAAAATAAAATGATTATGGTTTGGATTTGACATTTGTCTTATTGGGCTAAAAAGCCTATTTTGTCTTTTTGTGACTATTTTTGCCAAAAAATCTCATTTTTGCTTATGCCAAACAAAAGCTATATATATACTTGAAAGGGATGTACCATATGTACCTCTAGTTATGTTATTTATTTTTATTTTTTTTTATAGTTCTGATCAATTTTCTTATTTAGTTATGATATTATCACGAGATCTTTGGTTATACCTCATGTGGTGTTTTGTTGTGATTTTTTTTTTTTTTAGTTATGATTAAGAAAGTATGGAGTTATGCCATTTTCTTCTTTTTTTATAAAAGCATATTTATCTTTCCAAAATTGAAAGTATATAAAAACTAGCATAACAAACTATACATAATAGTCTAAATTATTAAACAAAGCTACTCAATTACGTATTCAACCAACCATACATAAATAATCAGGAATTGAATAAATTAGACTCAAATAAAAGGGTAAATTGCACTTTATCCCCCTAAAGTCATATCCCACTTTGGCCTTTTAATTTTTGATTTTTTCTACTTTGGCCCTTCATATTTACAATTGTTCCCACTTTGGCTGTAATGCCCTCAAAATAAGACATAAATCATTCATTCATAAGGTCCATTAATATAATAGAAAAGTTACATTTTCATTCATCAGAGTCTTCTTTACAAAAGATGTTACATATTAGAAACAAAATAATGCCCTAAGGGCTTACAGCTTTCCAAGTCATCACTTGGTTACAATAAAAGAAGAGTCCTAACTCTTTTTCATATAAAGCCCTTGGCTTGGATTTACATTTAACACAAAATGAAAACAACAAAACGGAGCCTTCAACTCCTAAACCTCCCAATCTAAGACCTTGGAGGCGGCATGTCTCCTGTACCTGAAAAATGGTGTCCCAAGTAGGGGTTATAACGATCCCGGTTTTCTCTGTCATTTATTGTATTGCGAACTCGAGTTCCATGGTTGTTTGTTGTTGTTTATATCTTGTTTCAGTCCTCTAATTCCTTGTATTTGAGTTTTGGGATGTGTTGGGTGAGTTTGGAACAGGTTGGTTGTGAGTTGGTTCAAGTGGTTGCTGCCCAGGTTTTGCCTTCTTTGCTCGAGTGAGGCTTTTTGCGCTCGAGTAAGCCCTAGGTATTTTCTTATTCGCTCAAGCGAGGATTCTTGCGCTTGAGCGAGAATTGTGAGTTCTCAAGTTTCTTTTTAGACGCAGCTTCCGCTCGAGCGAGCTTTCTTGCGCTCGAGCGAGCGTTGCATGGTGTGTCTTTTTGCTCGAGCGAGAACTCTTGTGTTCGAGCGTGCGTCTGCATCTTCGTAAGACCTGAAAATTGGTATTCTTCACTCAAGCGAGATTTCTTACACTCGAGCAAGCCCCGTGTTATTTGTTCCTTTGCTCGAGCAAGAACTCTTGCACTCGAGCATGCGTCTGCGTTGGTTGCAGACCTGAAGCTTCTCATTGTTCGCTCGAGCGACGCTTCTTGCGCTCGAGCGAGGTATTTGTTGTGTCTGGTCGCTCGAGCGACCACTCCTTCGCTTGAGCGAGCCTTGTGTATATCAGTTCGCAGCAAAGGTGAAATATTCCATTTTTGATCCTTTTCTTCTTCCAAAACCCTAGATCGGCTGTCTCTCTCTGTCTAAAATACCCCTTCTCTCTACAAATACACTTGATCTAGAGTGTCTCTACCATACTTCCTTTGTAAAAAGGGTAGAGTATCGCGTGGGCTATCTTTTGATCCAAAAAAGTTTGGATTTGGAGCAACTTGGGTTTTTCTCTTCTTCTCCTTTGAGCTTCTCCATTTGAGGTAGGGATAATCTACTTATTTCTATGAGCTT